CAACCAATCACAGCAGATGGCCCCGCCCCTCCCTGAGCCTGGTTCTGCTGCAGGTTTCTTCCTGTTAAAAGGGAGTTTTTCCTTCCCACTGTCACCAAACGGCCGCTCATACCACGGTCAGCCGTTTTACAGATAGAAAACTAGCTTTGCTCCGACAGCCATAAGTCAGCGGTGCTCTCCTCACCTCCATGATCTTCATCAAAGCGCGTTTCCAGCTGCTTATGTCTCCTCCTGTCCTCTTTCATCTCCTTCTCCTGCAGCTTACGAGCGATGGCCTACAACAAAACAACGCAACAGTAAGCACGGCGTCCCGCATCAATATAGAAACGTCCCACTTAGACAAAGGTCATATTTCTTTGGGTGCACGAACAGTAGCTCCCTTCTCAGGCCAATTAGCACATGCTTCGTGCACCTTATGGAGCACGTAGGAGGCGATCTGACCCAAGTCAGCTCACTCTGACTAATCTAACAAACAGTGCTGCTGATTGGGAAACAGAATCTAGGATTTCTCAGCTTTCCCATTTATCAACAACGTCACTGTAATGTTAAAAAAATAAATAAATAAATGTGGAAACAAAGGCGCAATGATTGGACAAGAATGACCCGCTCAAAACAGGAAGACTAGAAACAACTGAGGGGTAGAAACAAGCTGCCCTCAGGTCTGCTGCTCACCGCATCTTTCTCTTCTTGCTGTCGCTGTCGCTCTGCCTGTCGGACCAGTTCCTCCTGAATCTCCTGGGCGATCTCGTTGTCTTGGCGCTCACTGAGGTTCACGTGTGTTGTAAGCATGTACGAAGAGAAGAAGCAGGGAAATGTTACAGTAGGGATGTAATGGAAGCACATTTTTAAACAGCTTTGCTTAAAGATGCATCTTCATACTGACACACTTGTTAAATAAGCATCGTTACACTTTTCACGTCTCCATTATTACGACAGACTCACGCAGCGGTGCTGAAACCGGCTCTGCTACGACACACGTTAGATTGTTGTGTATATAAAGGTTTAAAACCTCACTGACTTCAACACTGAAAATGATTTTTCTCACTTATTTTTTCAGTAATTCTGTTTCAAGTCAACACCCGAAGCCTGAGCTTTGAAGTTATCCAGCATGTTGTGAATGCTGGTCAGCGCCTCAGGCAGGAGCAGGAGGATCTTAGCTTACTGCAGCGTTGATCTCACTAGGCTCACTCTCATCTTTGAAGCTGCACGATTTAGTCACAAACACCATCTGCCTGCAGGGCTGGTGTGTGAAAATCCTTACAGTGTGTGCAGACACACCTGAGTGTGTATCTTACTAACAGGAGGAGGAGCTTATCCAACCTGGATTTGACCCGAGTGGTTAGGATGAATTAAAGTGGCACATGTAAACAAACTGCTGCACCTGAGCGTCTTGAAACAGTGCGTGCTGAGAAAGCAGTGATGCTGTTTAGTCCCGTGTCTAAGTGGCGAGTGTGGGATAGACGGTGAGCCTGCATGCATCGCTGAGGCGTCCAGCCTCGCACCCAGGGAGTGCAATCCCTCTACTCGAGCCCTCCGTGTTTAGTTTAAAATAAGTGGTTCTGCGAGTCAGCGCTTTTATGTTGATTAAAACTGCAGAGCACAGAGAGACTCCAAGTGCCTTTTTGCACACTTGGGATGCAACAGAGAGACAGCAGAGCTCTCTGCTATGTTCAGGTCAGCGGAGCCAGATTTATGTTCCTGCATCAGGCCACTGTGGTTAGTAAGTGTACGCGCTGCATTGCTTTGGACATGCAGTTGGAAGCAACCCAAACCCCTCGGAGAATATAATTATACACCAGCGGTGACAAAGACACCACAGACTCCATAACAACTGAAGATCTGCTCATGCCGTTTGTTTCTGCATGTTTCTGCAGGATAAAGACTGAAAGCATTTTGTAGGTTAGCATGAGTCTCCTAACACAGATAAAATGTCTGCAGCACAGACCTGTAAGAAGTCTGTTACTCCCTACGCCTCATTGATGCATGGCTCATCTCCTCTTAAATAATCTGAGAACCAGCTGGTCAGCAGAACCTCATGATTGCTCCGGCAAAAACAAGATTGAAAGCATACTGAATGACAGGATCTTCTCATTTATAACAATAACAGTGTTAAAGCTACTCTGAATAATCACTCAGGAGTCACCCAGAGCGCCGCGCTGGCTGACCTCGCTGCTGAAGCACAAATCTGTCCGAGGACGGGGTTTGGGAGTAATTACATGAGATTAGACTAATTGGAAACAGATGCCATCATCAGAGTAACTAATAACGCTCACAGCGAGTACTGCTGAGTAATCTGATGGCTTTAAAAGCCCTCGAGGTGCAGCGAGTGCTTTATTTCAAACATCCAACCAGCAGATTCGTATTTTTCTACCTGGACTACCTGGTCGCTCATATACACAACTATAAGCAGGCACATGCTTTTATGCAACTGCTGACTCTAGTTTGACTTTTCATCAGCACAAAGCTCAATTTCATCATTGATTTGGACTTTTTCTGATCCATCTCCAGTAATTCCTGCTCTGCTTACATCTAACAGGCGTGTATGACGTGTGAGGGACACCTACATGTCAACGTTCTCCTTCTGAGTCTTCATCTTGGCCCTCTCATCCTCCTCCTCTTGGAGCTTCTTGGCCACCTGCAGGTCGTTCTGCACCAGACGGCTCTTATAGACATTGGAGGCCAAGTGGCTCTCAACTGTTGACACACACAGACACACACAGGCTTTACTATCAGCGAGATAAAATGAATGTTGAACAGCAGAGGTCATTTGCACATCTACACGTCAGCGTCTGAGGAGCACTAACTACTCTTTAGATGATCGGCTGAGGACGAGATAAACGCCGAGGCCGTTTCAGCCTCTGCTGTTCAGCAGACTGCGCTCAGTCACTGAGGAATGAATGTTGGCAGCCGAGGCGTCGTTCCAAGGTTGTGTGACGGCATGTCGTCGACCATAACAGATGAGAAATCCTGCTTGCTGACGCACTTCTAGCACTTTGTAGGCAGCGCATCACTCACTCAGTTCTGTTATTGATCCGGGACAAAATTACATTTGGCAATTTGTACGCGAGGGCGCCATAAGGTTTGTGTTTGTGATGGAACAGGAAACCATGTCACAGCTGTGCCAACGTGATAAAGAGTCGAGGGACTGACATCGATTTCTGGTTCTCTTGAATGACGCTGTGATTAATGTTTCACGTGCTGACAGCCCATAAAAAAACGTCTGAAGGTATAACTGAAGTCACAGCGTAAGATGAAGCACATTCATCCACTGCCATGTTTGCCATGTCAACAGCAATCTGGAGTCATCTTTCAAGGAAACAGACATTGTGAAATCTGTTCATAAAACCTCTGGAGAGGCCTCGGGTCATCCAGGAAAAGAAACAACGCTGAGCTGTGACAACATCAGACACACGAGTGGAAAAGAAGCAAACAGAAGATGCCAAGTGCTGACACGGCCTCGCAGAAATGTGTCCATGTGACATTTGGACACTTTGCTGTTCGGCATGCTCAACATTTTGAATGGAAACAAAAGCCAGCTGCACACGAACAAACTCAATGTGCTTCAAATCTTCTTTTGGACGCCATCTGCTGATGTCATCCGTGAAAAAATAAACAAGGGGGGGGGCTGCATATTTAGACGACTACTGAAATATATTAAATGGCATCCTCCCTTTTGACTTCCAGGGTCAAAGGTGAAAGAGCATCCTGCCAACACAAACCTGATCAGTTATTGTGGCAACAAAGGAGCAAATGGAAACGAGCCTACAGCACAATCACATTCATTACAGCTAATCTGCACTGAGGGCGTGGCTGGATGACATCTGCCTTCCTCTCATTTAGCAGAGCTCGTGGCAGAATTTACCTTTATATGGTTTTACAATGGAGGGAACGGACAGATAAACTAGTGTCCTCTACAGCAGCTCCTTCTCTCGGCTCACACTTAGTGCAAACCAAAGGTTCACCAGACTCAATAATACAGCAGCGGCCCGTCTCTGATGCACAGAAAGAACCTGACGTTGATGTGAGATCTCAACAACTTATCTTGATGCAATTACAAACAAAACGAGGGGACGTAGCCTCTATAATGACTCTAATTACTTGCATGTGCTCACATTAAAGCACCAGCTAGCGTAAAAGGAGACACAGATGCAGTGTGTTCAGCTCTACAATCAGAGCTTTCTGTGCTACAGCTGCTGCACACAAAAAAGCCACATCACTGCTCTGATGCAGAGCTTTGTGGCGTCCCGCACCGCGGCTCGACTAATTGTGTACCAGGGTTTATACGGGCTTAATCAGACTGCAGCCACCGACGCCGCGCTCTCCCCTGCAAAACGCAAAGTGGAGCATTGTGGGCTGCGTGCATGCTTTCACTGCTACAAATAAAACATAATTCAAAGCTTGATTTTTAGCAAAGTGATACCAAATGATTTAGGAAAGGAAAAGTCTGCAGTTACATAAAAAGCCCAATGCAGAAAACAGTGCAATAACAAATGGCACCAAGTGTTTAACCCTTTAAGACCTACCATAGAACCAAGTC